ATGAGACCCGTGAGCTGCAGTACCACTTTCTGCTCCGCGGGTGGGTGTGTGCTTTGGGGGGTTCAAGAGAGCTGGAGAGGATCCTCACTACAGGGAGGACAGAATAGGGGAGGGAGTAGGAGCAAGGTGGACTGGGTCAGGCTCCTGCCTGGGAACTAAGGCATCCTCTTGAGGCTCAGGCCCAGAACCCTCTGTTGCTTCAGTGGAACCTCCCTTTGCTTTCTGGAAAGGAGGCAGGGCGCTTAGATCTCTGGGCTTTCTTGCCATGGCCTTAGGAACTGAATATGGCCTGCCTTTGGGTTTGGGCATCTTCAAGGTGGCCTGTGAACCCCTAAAGGGCGGGGGCTGAGGTGCAATGTCACTTTGCCCTACTGACAAACCCTGCAAGCTGGTGCAAACCATGACTCCTAGCGCCACCGTGTGGCCACCGCCTGCACAGCAGCAGCTCCCCTGGCCGAGCCCTGAGCAGAGAGGCCTGGCTCCCCCTGTTCTTTTCTTCTTCCTCCTCTGAATCCTGGAGAACTGCTCTGTCCGTTTTGGTTCACACTGGCCACATGTGACTGTGTGTATTTAAATTAGTTAAAATGAAACACGAATGAAAATTCGGTTCCTCAGTTCCACTCAGGTGCTCAATAGCATGGGTGACCAGTGGCTACCATTTTGGACAGTGCAGATGTAGGACCCCTCCCATCATCACCAAAGGTTTTGTGGACAGCGCTGCCTTTGTCTGCCTTTGGCGGGTGTTTTCCACAGGAATGTTCATACTGAAGCTGTTTTCATGTCAGGAGAGTGGGCTTCACCCTGAACTGAGTGCAGAGTAAGCTGCCAATGGCCAGAGGCCAGGGTGAGGGTCTGGCCCTAAGGTGCCTTGACCGCAGGCCATAGGGTTCCCCGGCACCCCTTCCCCACTCCAGGTCTGGCATAGGCACCCTGCAGGCTACAAAAAAAGCATGGGGTCTGCCTGGTAGGAACTCGTAGCCAAGGTGGAGCCCAGGAATGCTCCCTGTGAGGGTCCTGGGAGCTGAGGTGGGCAGGGGTCATGCTGCGTGCTCTGGTCTGGCTTTTAATAGGAGGATTGAGCCTTCTAAGACAGGTCCCTGTCCTCATTTTATCTCTGGACACCACCCAGACCCCCAGGGCACCCCTGACTCCCCGAGGCTGATGTTGCCCTGCCTTCTCTGCCTCTTTCAGGGGGTGCTGTCCGACCTCACCAAAGTGACCCGGCTGCATGGAATCGACCCTGTCGTGCTGGTCCTGATGGTGGGCGTGGTGATGTTCACGCTGGGGTTCGCTGGCTGCGTGGGGGCCCTGCGGGAGAACATCTGCCTGCTCAAGTTTGTGAGTGGCCCCAGATACAGGGGTGGGAGAGGGCTGGGAGGTAGGGGTGCAGGCTCTGCTGGGCAAGCTTATACCTTATCTGGTCGGAGGGGGCCCAGCAGTGCGGGCAGGAGGCCACCTTTGGTGTCCACCTAATGGTAAGATTTCAGGGAGCACTCAGATGAGCTAGCTCCTCGTACCTGGAGAAGTTGGGCCGCTCTGGTTTTCAGCTCCTAGAGGCAAGAGATGGCCAAGCGGGGGGCTCCTCTCCCCCTCCCTTGCTTTTTACTTCCCTCAGAAGTTCTAAAGGCATTGTTCGCCGCTCACCTTCGCCCTTCTTGGCTAAGATCAGACGATGTTGCCAGTAAAGTTAGGAAATCATTTCCCTCCTCCAGGGTGTGTGAATCTGTTGGGATGTGCGATGCAGAATCCTTCATTTCCTGGCAGCACTGCGAGTTACTAAGAATTTGGTTTTATATTTAGATACAAATTCATGTTGAAGTGCATTCAGTTAAAATTAAATAGCACCTGGTGGGGAAAACACCTAATCGTGTTTTGCAATATATTATTTGTCGAAGTGATTAGATCAAGCATCTCTTTCTTGGGCTTAATTTAAGAAGCAGAACACGGTTGGTTTGGTTTTTTCCCCCCTAATTTTGTTTTCTATTAAAAATATTGCATTTAGTATCTTCCCTCTGTGTGCATGGAGGCTGGGTTTCGGAGGGCCTTCTGCGTGTGCGAGGGTGCATGCGCGCGTGCGCGGTTGTTTCCCTTCTGTCTTAACTCTGAGACCTTCACCCGCTGTGGCATGAGCTCAGTGTGACCAGTGATGATCATGGCCGGGGGAGTGTGCGTGCGCCGCAGGCCAGAGGTCTGCCTGATGGGAGGGGTGTGGGGCTGCGGTGGACTCTTGCAGGATGCCCCACGGCTGTGGCAGACAGGGGCTCTGCGCTTCTGGAGAAGTCTTGACGCGTGCAGAGTAGGTAGTGGTAACGTCGGCGACTCTGGAGTTGTGAAGACACCTGCCAGGGAACTCAGGTGTCCTGTGTGAGCAGTGTGCTCTCAAGCAAGCCACACGCCTGAGTGAGCCTCAGTTTCCATGTCCCTACAGTGCGGGTGACGGGTTGGATTTCTAGCAACGTGGATGGTTGCGTGTGCGAGGAGAGTGGTCAGGTACTGTGTCTGGGGCACAGGCTGTGCCCTGAAGGAGCTGCTTGCCCGGTGGAGGAGGCTAGCCACTCGTTTCCGGGATGGGGTTTCCTGCGGGGGAGAGGGAGACTCCTTCCCAGGAAGTGGGTGACACCGTGGCTTGGAGCTGCCTCTTCCTTTCCCTCACCCGACTCTTAGCCATGCTGCAGGGTTGTGGGTAGGGATGCGTTATCTCTGTGTACAGGCAGGGCGGGGTTGCCAGCCCGTAACATGGGATGCCCGGGGCTCCAGTGCCGGTCTCCTGGCGGCAGGCGGTGGCCTTGGGTCTGACGAGGGTTCGCGCGTGGCCTGGAGGCTACAAATGTGATGACTCTCCCACCCTCGTCCCCATGCAGTTCTGTGGCACCATCGTGCTCATCTTCTTCCTGGAGCTGGCCGTGGCTGTGCTGGCCTTCCTCTTCCAGGACTGGGTGCGGGACCGGTTCCGGGAGTTCTTCGAGAGCAACATCAGATCCTACCGGGACGACATTGACCTGCAGAACCTCATTGACTCCCTGCAGAAAGCTGTAAGCACCACCCATGCTGGCCTCCCCAGTAGAGCACGGGCTTCCCACCTATGCCTGCGGTCCAGGCTGGGCTGGGGCGGGGGGCAGTGCAGGGAGGCCCTGGGAGGTGCCGCTCCTGCCTCCGGTCGGTTTAGCTTTGCCTGCTCATGGGTGCCTGGCGGCTCAGGCGTGTTCGCAGGGTGCTCGCCCCCATTTGCATCGGGCGGGCAGTCCAGCAGCTCCAGTGGCCACCCTCCCCCAGGGGCCCAGATCTCTCCAGCCCTGGCCTCACAGGCGGCTGCAGGTCCCTAGGCGCTATGGGTACCGAGGGGTGGAGCGTCTCCCCCCACCGGCCCATGACTCACTGTCTGAGGCTATTCCTGTCCCCTTCCTCCCGGGGACCTTTTCCCCTTCCTGTTTAAGAGGGCAGAGCTGCCTGGAGGAAACTCCCCCAGATGGAGAGGAATGTAACCTCCCTGGAATATGTCTCCAGGGGGGTGTCTAAGCTGTCCCAGGCCTTGGCCTTTACTCCATCTGGCATTCAGTCCCCTTGTGTGCAGCCACACCTGGAGGCTTGGACCACAGCCATCCCCACCCTGGGAAGAACCTATTCCCCACGGCCAGGCCTATGTAGGGCTGTTGTTTGATCTGTCTGTGCTCTGCCAGAAAACCTCGCTTCCTCAGGGACTTCGTATGGAACACTCTGGTTCTGAGAAGAGAATAATCAAGAAAGCATTAAAAATAACCATAGTCTCCTCTCACGTTAACTAAGATTTGTTTACCCCCATGTCATGTGTCCTGGGATCCAGCAAAACCCATTGATGTGACCAGAGGCCCTTCCTGTGTTGTAATAGTGGCCTGCGTTCGTCTGCAAGGTCACATCCCAGCCGTTTCCTACTGTCTGTCCCTCACTGTGCGGTGTTGACGTTGTCACATCGCCGCGGGCGTGCCGGTGTCTGTCCCGTGTGCGGGGCACTCTCGCCCTGCACTGGCCTGAAAGACATCGAGGTGGTCGCCCCTGCCGTCCTTGCAAATTCTTGAGAAAATCAATTATCCGGAGGGATTCGGTACATCACAGAGCTTCCTCACCGTGAAATACACGGTGATCGTTAAAGCAGCTGGAACCACAGCAGAGTGAGGGTGGGGGACATAGGATTTCATCTTAGACATGAAGACAACCAGAATTCCTGGTTGTGTGTGCGTTGCGATCACCGCCACACCCACGTCAGCAATAAGGACACGTGTAAAAACAGAATCTGCTCTCGGTCTGGGATGCCATCGACCTCACTGTGCTGTTTTCCGTATGTTTGGTTTTACGTTTTTTTTAGACGAGTGGGGATGGTCTTTGCGAGAACACCAGATAATGGGGGCTGGTGGGGAGGCGAGGGCAGAGACCTCAGGTCAGGGGCCGACCCCAGTCATAGTTCTGTCCTTGGGAGTAGACGTCCAGCAGCTGTTTTTTTGTAAAGAGGCACACAAAGGAACTAGGGCCAGCTTGGAAATTTCCTTGGGAGGAAGACACACTCACTGCCCACAAGGAGGGATTCCCTCTCTGGGGGGG